TGTATTGATACTACTTAGCAGAGTGCCAGGAGCATAGAAGGCATTAACTGCTTGTTGATAAATTGATTATACTGGCTGGCAAGTTTTCCCCCCTAGAGAGTGAATGAAGGGAATTGATAGGAATTAGGACTGGCAAGGTGGTAGAGGGGGCCAGAATGTAGACGACTTTAAGGAACAGGCTAAAGATTTTGTATTTTTTCCTAGAGCCACTGATGATTACTGAGTAGAGATGGAATCCCATCAGATCTGTACGTTCAGTTTATTCAATTGGCTCCTCTGTAGAGGATTGAATGGAAAGGGGAAAGACTAGAAGTGGGGAGTCCATGAGGAGACTATTGCAGTAGCCTGTGAAGCCTAGATAGTCCACCAGCACCATGCCAGAAAATGGAATCACTTCCACTTGAATTGTCTTCGGAAGATTCTGAGGATCACCTGGCAAGAGAAAATGGCAGATACTGAAGTGCTCTCTTGAGCTGAACTGCCAAGGATTCAAGCTCTACTGCAGAAAGCACAATTCTGTTGGCTATGTTGTTCAACTGCCAGCCATGTGTTTGCCTAAAGGACTATTTTATGGAGAACTCACACAAGGCAATTGTTCACACGGAGGACACTCTCAAGGTCTCTCTGAAGAACTTTGGGGTCGATTGTGAGTCATGGGAGATACTGGCACAGGACCATTCAGCATGGTATGCCTACATCAAAGAAGGCACTGTGCTTTATGAGTAAAGCCGAATTGCAGTAATTCAAAAGAAACGTGAGATGCATAAATTTAGAGCCATTTCCACTCCAAATGTTCATATGGACTATTTCTGCCCAACCTGTGGTAGAGCCTTCTGAGCTTGTATTGGTTTGATCAGCCACAGTCAGATACACCGTACATTGACCCAGACATCATGATGCCATTTTGGTCGTCTTCTATTACAAAGGACAGCAACAACAAGTACAACGGGCTGAACCAGGGTGGTGGCTTCTCTTGAGGAGAAGCCGATAGATGAACAAGATGTGAGAGGCAAAATCAACCAGATGTGGTGACTGACAGGATTATTTTTTTGTGGGGAGAGGGAGAGACTGAATCTAAGTTTGCTAATCTAGCAAACTTGAAGAATGATGGTTCTATCAAGAGAAATGTGGAAGTTTAGAGAAGAAATCTGGAAATCTGGATTTTGGAGCTCTGACTCCTTAATGAATTGTTATTGGCAGCCTCTGGATACTGTTGCTTCTGAAATCCCAAGTAATACCCAGGAGTAACTCATAAATACAAAGCAGTTCTGATTAAGGTGCTATCCAATGACTATATTGGTACTTTGGGGGATGGGTCAGAGATTACATTTTGTTGTGTTACGGAGGTATACTGGTATTTGTTTGAATATAATTTTGGGAGGATCAGAACACAGTAAGATAATTTAGAATTACCCCCATACAAATAATCAATGAAAAAAGAGTTTGGGTTTGGGGGCACTGAGGGAAATACAAAGAGTTCTCTTTTGGATGTTTTGAGTTGCATATGCCCATGGCTCCATATGCTCATGGGACATCCAAGTAGTGGTTTCTGGTAGGTAGTTGTATTGAAAGACTAGAGTTGAGGAGAGCTTTAGGGCTGGATTGAGATCTGGGAGTAACTTACATAGAGATCATTGAACCCATTGGAGCTGATGAAACCAGCCAAGGGCAGTGGGTCAAGAGAAAAGAGGGCTCAGATAGAGCCAAGGAGGAATGTCCACACTGAGTGGTAAGGTAAGATCAGGTGAGATGCCATGAGGGCCTGAACTAGAGTGGAAGCAGCATGAATAGAAAAGAGGAGGCAAATTCATGAGAGATTGTAAAGGCTGAATCAAAAAACAACTTGGTAACTTATTGAATATGGGTGATGACGGAGAAAGAAAAGTCAAAGATGACCAGGGTTTTGAAGGTTACCTAACTGGAAAGATGAAGATGATTTACTATCAATAAAAATGGGGTATTTTGGAGGAAGGGGTAGATTTGGGATGGAAGATGGTGTGTTCAATTTTGGGCATACTGAGGTGCTGGTGGGATACATTAGTGGAAAGGTCTAGTCCAGAGGTGGGGAAACTGTGGCCTCCAGATCCTTGGGTGTGGTCTTTTGATGAGTCCAAGTTTTACAGAACAATCCACTATGAAGTTTAGATTCAGTCAAAGGGCCACACTTGAGGACCTAGAGGGCCATATGTGGCTTTGAGACTGCAGGCTCCCCACCCCTGGTCTAGGCTATAGTTGAAGTTGCAAGCCTGGAACTCCAGGAAGAACAACTGGGACTGGATTTACAAATTGGAGAGGTGTCTGCCAAGGGAGTAGATGAGATCACTGCAACAGAATGCAGAGGGCCAAGGCCAGAACCTTGAGGGACACCCACATTTATGGTACAGGTGGAGGAGGATGAATCAATGAGGAAGAAGTGGTAAGACAGGTAGGAGAATCAGGAGAGAGCAGTGGCACAAAAAAAACAAGGAAGGAAAAAGAATCCAGTAGGAGAGCATTGTTATGAGTGTCAAATCCTGCAGTGAGGCCAAGAAGGAGGAGGAGGAGGAGTAATTCTGAGAATAGGTCATTATATTTGGCAATTAATTAAGAGAGCAGTTTCAGTAGAGTGGTTGTTGGAAGCCCATTAACAAGGATTGAAGTGGGTGGTGAAGCAATGAGTAGAGATTTCTCTTTTTTAGAAGTTTAGCAGCGAAAAGAGAGAGGAGGAAGAGGAGGAGGAGGAAAGAGAGAGAGAGAGAGAGAGCACATGTTTGTGGGTTATTTTTTTGGCGGGGGATTAAGTAGATTTTTGCATATTTGTCAGATGTGGAAAAGGAGATGGGAGAGGGAGAAGTGGAGGGAGAAGGTGACGATAAAAGAGAAGGAACAATTAATGGAGTTCCTGAAGAGATGGGCTCAAGGGTACAGGTGGAGGTATATTAGCCTTGGCAAAGAGGAGAGCCACCTTATCTTCCAAGATAAGACAAGGGATGATCTTAGGGTAGATGAGACTATCTGCTTTTATTAAATGTTCTGCTCTTTGAGGAAAAGGACTATGTTTTATTTATTTTTGTATATTTGTTGAATGAAACAATAAGCTAGATTCTAAATAGTCCTACCTCCACAACTAGACTTAACTCCCCAAAGACTGAGATTGTGTCTTGCCTTAGCACCTATTTCAGGACAAACCTATTAATAACTTGCCCTCCCCACCCCCACTCTGACTTTTCCAGTTTTCTTACACCTCACACCACACCAAATGGTCTTCAGTCCAGTGGCACTCGCCTCCTTGTGGTTTCTGGAACAAGGGACTCCATCTCCAAATGCCAGGCATTTTTACTGGTTGTTTCTCATGCGTGGAATGCTCTCCCTCCTCATCTTTACCTCTTGGCTTCCTTCAAGAACCAGCTAAAATCTCATCTTGTGCAAGAATCCTTTCCCCATCCTCCTTAATTCTAGTGCTTTCCCTCTCTTGATTATCTCCAATTTACCCTGCATACATCTTGTTTGTACTTAGTTGTTTGTATGTTGTCTCTCCTAATTTGACTGAGCTCCTGGAGAGATTTTTTTTTAAACTAGATCCATTTATTTAGTCTTCTCAGAGATTTTTAGGTTCACTTCTTTAAAACAAAGTTAAAGAAATCTTAAAGTACCCAAGTAACAATATAGGAAACATTATACAACCCACGGACACCGGATGATCCTTCAACGTTTTGTTTTCATTTCAGCAACAACTTCTACAGCAGAATATGAGAAACTATAGCCGAACTGAGGTTTGGTAATGAATCCTCCCTCCCCTCTCACACACCCCCTCGCCCAGCTAGATTAGCTTCTTCTGCCTTCCTTTGTATCCCCAGTGTTTAACACAGCGCTTGGCACCTAAAAGGCGCTTAATAAATATTTTATCCACTAACTGGCTAAACGAATGTTGTGATTGTTAGATCTGACTAGGAATGATCGACCTGGAAAAGAGAAAACTTGGGTTTGGGGGACAGCAAGAGCTGCCTTTGGGTCTGGGAAGGGTTGTCCCAGGATAAAGAGGTTAGGGTGGCCCCTGAGGGCAGAAACAGGAGCAAAGGGCTGAAGAAGTGGTAAAGATGCAGATGGGCTGGACGTCAGAAGACCCCTTTCCAAGCCCCTGGAGCTCAGCAGCCCCGGGCTGGGCTGGGTTGGGTTGGGTTGGGGTCGCCCTCATCGGAAGTGTGCAGGCAGAGGCCGGATCGCGTGCCTACGGGTCAGGCATCTTAAAGAGGGGGCTTCGCGGTCAGGCCCCCGGTGGGTCTGGATGCCCGGCCAAAACCCCCCGGCCCCAGCTTTGGGAGCCTGATTCCTCTCCGGGCCCCGTGACTCGGGACGTGGACCCCTCGCTCCCTCCCTCCCTCGCTCGCCCTGGAGCGGGGCCCGGCTGCCAAAGGGCCAGGGAGCGCCCGGCTATTCCAGGCCGGCTCGTAGGTCGGGCTGCATAGACGAGATGACCTTTAGCAAGGGCCCAGCACATCCTCCTCCCCCTTGGTACCCTCCTGCCGGCTCGGGCTCCCGGGCCACCAGGGTGCGCTGTGTGGGTGTCCCCGAGAATTCTCGCCCGTTTGCCGGCCCCCCTCCCCTGCTCCGGCCCGCCTCTGCTCCTATAGGCTCGGAGCGCCTCACACTCTGCCTCCTCATTGGCTGCAGGAGGTGCCAGTCTCCCGGGTTGGGAGGCGGGTCCCGTGACGCGCCCAGGGGGCGAGGGCGGTGCCGGCGGCTCGAGGGAGCGGGGGCGGGGCGGGGCTTGGGGCGGATCCGCCAGTGTCGCCTTCGCCGCCTGCCGCTACCGCCGCCGCCGCCGCCTCAGCCGAGCTAGTGTGACCGCGGCCGTGGTGGGAGTCGCAGGCAGCCCCGCAGCCGCGTCCCTGCCGCCCTCGGTGCTCTCGCGTCGCCCCTGGGATGCGGGGCCGCGCCTCGCCATGACGGGCTCGGGGCGCCCCGCTCTCTGGCTCCGGCTCCAGCCCCAGGCGGCGGCTCCTCTCGGGGTGGTGCTGCGGCGCGCCGCCGCTGTCCGACCCGGCTCCTGCTGACTGCGGCTCCCGCTCCTCCTACTTCTCCTCCGCCGCCGCGCCCACGCCCCGGCTCGGCGCTGGGTCCTGAGGTGAGGCCGGGGAGCTGGGCCCGGAGTGGGGGGGGCCGTTGGGGGCCGGGGGAGGAGGGAGGGGCCGCTGCGCGCGTGGCTGGGGGCGAGGGGAGGGGGCGCGCGGCCGCGGGGGAGGGAGAAGAGGGGGCGCGCGGCCGCGGGCAGGCTGGGGTGGGGGGAGGAGGGGGAGCGCCAAGAAAGGATTGAGGGCGGGGGAGGGAGGCGGGAGGGCGGGGGACGCATTAGTGGCGATTGACAGACGGGAGAGGGCCCGGAATTCGGGCGAGATCTCCCTAACCCCGAGTTTGCCAAAGCCCCCTCTCCGCCCCACCCCTTCCCCCAATTCTTAGGAGATCTGGGGGGAGGTGTGCAGCTGGGGAGGTGGCCCCCGTTTGGGGGAGGGGGGTGGAATCAGGGAAGCTTCTGGGCATCCTTTCACCCTTTGACAGCTGGTATTGCAGGGAGGATATCAAATGGACCCTAGTTCCTTCTCCCTCTCTCTCTCTCTCTCTCCCTCTGTCCCCCTCTCCCCCTCTCCCCCTCTCCCCCTCTCTCCCTCTCCCTCTCTCCCTCTCTCCCTGTCTCCCTCTCCCCCTGCCCCCCTACCTCTTTCTCCCTCTCCTCTCTCTCTCTGTCTCTTTCACTCTCTTTCCCCTCTTGGTCTCTTTCTTCCCTTCTCTCTCTCTCTCCCTCTCTTTCTCCCTCTCTCTCTCCCTCTCACTCTTTTCCTCTCTCTCCCTCTCCCCCTCTTCCTCTTTCTCCCTCTCTCCCTCTCTCTCTCCCTCCCCCTCCCCCCCCCCCCCCCCCCCTCTCCCCCTCCCCCTCTCCTCATCTTCCCCTCTTCCCTCTTTCCCCTTCTCCTCCTCTCTCCCTCTCTCTTTCCCCCCTCCCTCTCCCTCTCTCTTCCCCCTCCCTCCTCTCCTCCTCCTCTCTCTCCTCCCTCTCCTTCCCTCTCCCCCTCCCCTTCCCCCTCTTTCCCTCCCTCCATCCCCGTTTTCCCCCTCTCTTCGCCTCCCTCCCCACAGAAGGGAAGGTTTATTATTTCCTCCGATGAGTTGTTGGGGTGCTGCCCTGCCTCATAGTGGTTCTTTGCCTGGGTTAGCAGCTCAGGGCTTTGGTTGTGGATTTGATCACCTTTCCCTTGTTGTTTACCCTACACTTATTGCAAGACACCTGGCCAACTGTGTTCTTGCTGCTCCATCCTCCAAGGTGCTGATGTATGCGAACCAGATCTCTAGGCAGTTGGATGCCAGGATTCTCCTGATAGTTCTTTCCCATGCCTTATGGACAAGCTGGTTGATTTATTTTCAAAGGGTGGGGAGATTTTGAGCGGTCTACGCTTTCCATAGAAAGGATATTTCCTCTTTTAAAACCCTTGCACTCTCAGTTTTTCAAGTCTTTGCTGGCGTTCAAGGCTTCATTTAGGAATGTAATTATTCCCTTTTTTGAGACTGATGAAGCAAGAGACACGTAATGGGACTGAGAAAACTGAAGGTTTGAAGGCTAGAAAGAGTAGAGAGGCTGAGAAGGAAGGGGTTTATTTAGTTATGTCCAGATGTAGTAAAGGCTGTATGTAGTCACTGTGTTCACAGTACAGAATTACCATGGCAGCCATATTGGGAGGATGATCTGACAGTCCTTTAGGAGCCAAGTCCAGGCTGCTGGAAGGTGCAGAATGACAGCCCTGGCTGCTTTCAGGGTGACTGGTTGCATTAGAGGCCAAGTTGTGGGGGTTGGGAGGCTGCTGGAGTAGGCTAGTCATTGTTCACATAAAACAAAACAATGCATTCCACTTCTTAAAAGCAGAATGGAGCTTACAGGTCATGTTTTTTTCATTGGTGAATTGTAAAAGTGGCTTCAAATCTGAACTGCCCTCCAGATTTATCTTTTCCCTTAGCATGAGATGGGATGTGTTACTGAATTTACCCTGAGTGGGCTTGTCTGAGGGTATTATTATGTATGGGCAAATAGGATTTGTGCTGAGGTTAATCCTGGTAGGTACTTGATTCAGCATATTTTGCATAGCTTTAAAGGATCTATAGTTGTGAATGTTAAATAAAAATATTCCAATAAGGATAATAACTAAGGTCACTAGCTATTTTAATGTAATCTTTAGGTAGACTGTCCACAGGGGATCCTTTGCTCCTGGGTCTGACCATTTTAGGTGGCTGCTTCACTTATTACACACGCTGCTTTGTGTCATCGTTCTTTTCTGAGTACCTGTCATATCTTTAAATGGAAGTGCAGTGTTTAGCATGTGGCAGCCTTTAAGAGATGTATCATCGATTTTAGGAAAAGGGTGCCATTTTGTTCTAACTTAAATCTTTACTTAGCATTATTTCAGATAAACAGTAAAGTCTGACATTTCCTGCTTTAGTTGGAATAGTAGTTGATTATCTAAAGAAAATTAGATTATCAATTGATCATATTGTGGAAGGGTAGTCAGTCTTCACATTATCAGAGTCTTTTATATTATCTCAGTTCAAGTTGAGAACTCAACACCTAGTGTTATCTACAGTCACAAGGCTGGAATGGGACCTTGAGGGATCAGCTTCCAGCCTTTGTGTTCTTTATTAGGAAAAAAGGACTTCTTGAAATGAACTCAACTTTCAAGTTTATTTGATGAAAATAGTACAGACAGCCTTAATAATTTTGGTTTTAAGTCTTCCTTTTAAAGGTTTGGAAATTCTTGTGTAATGTTGTAATTCAAGGCACATAGACACTAAATCGTTTCCAAACTGAATTAAGATATGACACCTTGAAATTGGCCATATAATTTTGTTTCTCCTAATTACAAAAATATTGTTAAAAATTAGTTTTTTTAAAAAAAACATGGATTGGAGAATTCTATCTAAATATGTTTTTGCCATTTTTTTTATGTGAGGCCTGATTAGCTGAATTGTGAATCAAATATGGAGGCAGCAAAATCTTAGGTATTTGTGAAAGTGTATTCCTTGGTAAATACTTTTCTAAAATTTATCCAGCTGATTTTATTGTCCAAATTTTAGAACTGGCTGTTTTTTCCTTTACAAGAGTAGATATGAATTCAATTTCTCCTCTTTCCTTTCATGTTTCCCAGTTTGAATCTATGCAGTGAATAAATACCTAAGAATAGTCTGCCAACAAAGTGTTTCCAAGGCAAAGTGATTCATTCTAGCTTATTCTCCTGGTTGTAGTCTTGACTTACACAAAAAATAAAGAATTGAACTTCTGTGTTCTCTTTTGTATGCCTCTTCCCAAGGTTGCTGACCCAAGCAGATCTTTTTCTGAAAGAAATATATGTTCCTATTTGATATGACTCATTTTCTGATGGATTTGAAATTAATAACATTTCCAGTCTACATTCTGTTAACTGTCTCTTTGAAAAATTGGCCTTGTTTAGTGGACAATAGTGAATTTTTGCAATTCTTGTAGGAATGTGAGCAGAAAAAAAAACCTTATAGAATCTCCTTTTTGATAATTAGGTTGACAGAAAAATTAGAAAAAATTGATACAGCATGGTTAGCATGCAGAAAGTCTACAAAAAGGTGTCCTTGACTTTTTCCTGAAGTAGAATTTCTTCTCAGCAAACCAATAATCTTTTTAGTTTTTTTCTCTAGGATCATTATCCATTAATATTGGATGCCTCAGTAGAGGTTTCAAGGTATTTTTAGACTGCCATTTGTAGGCTGTAGGTATTCTGAAGTGGCCAAACTCATTCTCTTTTATTCATTCTATTTTCTGCAATAACTAAGAATTTTTACCCCTTACCGCTCCTATCAACCAGTCAAAAGTGATTTAAATTCCAACAATATTTGTTGCCTACGTCTGAGTCTTATGTCCCAACTAGACTGTAAGCCCCTGAAGGATAGAGGCTGTGTCTTGTACTACTTCTGTAGCCTCTACAATGCCTAATGCTTTATGTTATGCTTCATATTTAAATTAAACATATGGATATTCAAACTTACAAAATATAAGGCAGGGAATAGATTTGTTACTTGAAGACACCCAACATGTTGGGTGGAGGATTTATGGGAAGTCGTGACCAACAGTCCTGTAGGTAAGAAGTTAATGAATGGATTGAAACATATCACTGGAGGGAGTACCTATGTTGTTGTATGTTGTTGGTATTTAGTCATGTTTACTGCCCATGGGGTTTTCTTGTCAAAAATACTGGAGTGGTTTGCCATTTCCTTCTTCAATGGATTAAGGCAAACAGCTTGAGTGACTTGCCTCCAGGGTCACACAACTAGGAAGTGTCAGAGGCAGGATTTGAACTCAGATTTTCCTGACTTTAGGCCCAGTGATCTATCTACTGAATCACCTAGCTGCCTTAGTACCCATGTGGACAGGATCACAAATTCATTGACATATGGAAATTGTTGAATATTTGACTTTATGGAATATTTAGGTCTTCTTGGCCATGTATTCCAATAAATAAACTCTCCTATTAGTTTATTTACTTTGGTATTTTGAATAATTTTGATTAGTTCCTCTCAATTCAAATTAACTTGATTTTTAAAATTGAAGAAGCTTCCACCTCATGCTTAGAAGTGGTTTGAGCAATGCTGAACAGAGAATGCCATCCTATTCTGCTCTAAAATATTGTGGTTGCTAAAAACAGAATAGCATGCTATTTGGTTTGTTAAGCTATGAGACCTTTAACCCAAGGACGCATCTTCATTGACAAAAAATAAATGAGAAAATAGAATGTAACAGAATAATTTGCTTTATAGAATTTTTCCCCCTAGGAATACTTTTTTTTTTAAGTCAGATGTACCTGTAGTTAGGATTTGATAAGAATGTCTTCAAAAGAGAATAAATTACTATGTAGTTGACTCTCTTTTTTAATTGCGGTGTTTATTTTGCTGAATCTCCATCGATGTGTGGCCATCCTCATCTTATTCAGTGATACTATTGTCTGTCATATCCTCTTGTAAATCCTTCATAGGGGGCTCCCTCCATCATCCTGGCAGTGGGAGTGGGTTGGTGGAACCTTCCTTTTTCATATCTCTTGATTTGGGGTGCATTTGTTCAAG